GGGGGGGGGGGGGTCCAAATTTCTAGGGTGAGTGGGTGGGGTTCCAAGTGTTACAAAAATGAGGAAAATGGTGAAAATACATTATTTTAATATATTCATATAAAAACTCGTCTTGGATATTCTTTGTGTTTAACGATGTCATCTCTTATAATCTTTTGTAAGAGTTTCCCAACAACCGACGTGAGACTAATCGGTCTGTAGTTACCTGGATTTATTTTGCTTCCTTTTTTGAAGATTTTGCAGGTAACTTTTGATGTTCCACAGATTTACGGAATATAATTTCAAGTGACTTAATGAGGGTTTTTTTAGTTTGTTAATAGCTTTTCTGATCTTGTCTTCAGTGATAGCGTTTGAGCTGAAAGTATTTTTTGTTCGTGGCGGGAAACCGGGAATTTCAATTGTGCCTTCATCTACGAATACACTCGCTAAGTGTAGATTTAAGTTTCTGCCTTTTCCTTGTCATTTGTGGTTAGCTGTCCATTTGTTTTTTTCCAATTGTGTTACCTTCTCTTTGTAACATGTGCCTGTGTGGGTCAATGACTGTCTTATAAGGTGGCTTTTTTTTCCACTGATTCTTATGTATGGTTGATGTTAGGAATTTGATATGTAGTTTGAGCACGGACTTAAAAAACTGTAGATAACAATTCCGTGGTTTGAGTTAGAATATTGTGAAAGAAGATTAACATAAATGTTATAATGCACAGACCAGTGGCGGATCCAGAGATCTAAAAAGNGAACACACTTGGACCGTTCTATAAGCAGAGCTAAAAATCCACAGTTTCGGAGAATAATAAACAATGTATCAAGAATATTATGCCCTTCTCTCACGCGTCCACTAAATTACATAACGTATCTTAAAAAATACATGTGGCTTGACATTGTTTTAGAAAGAAATAACGCAAACTAGCAATATTCAGCAGTTTAGTTTCGGCCAGGTACGTCTGGACCCCTCAATCTACACGTACCAAATTTTCCTGAGGTCAGCCTCGGTCCAAATCTGTACCTGTCGTTTTCTTTACAGGTTCAACCGGTTCAACCGTTTCAACCGGTAACGCGAATGTACCCATAGTCACTGTGATATTCCGCAATTAATTCTCCCATTCTAAATTTAGAATCGCCGTGCATTGCATTGTGGTCATAAACTTCAAAAATATGGCGGCCAAAAGGCTGCTGTGAAGTCTGCCTCGACAGGTCGATTGTTGACTGTTCATGATTATGTGTAAACGACTTTTCTAAAAAATGTCTGATGTGGTTAAACACACTCAGCTTGTTTTTCTGGTAGATGTTAACAAGAATAATTACAATTCTAACTCAAATGATCCTACTTGTTCACAAAAATATGTAAACACGATTTGTTTGTCAGTTCTCCGATTGTTAGTCCATTTCGCATCAGAAACTGAAGGCTTACTTTCAAACAAATCATCAAAATCCAAAAGTAAACAAAGTTCTCTAAAGTGGGGATTTAAATTTTTCAACTCCAATCACCACTATAGTAGGGTAGGGGGGCACATTTTACGAGATTTCAAACTAAGATATTTTGAAGAGTTTGAGAATGAAGTCGAAAGGAAATTCGAAGAGACATGCAATGAACAAAAATCAGAGAAAGCACACATTGCCAGTGACTGTCTACGAAAGGCCTTGATGGAAGTAATATATGATTTCCAGTGGGAGAAACCAGATATCACCTCACCTGTCAAACGAAGAAAGTCAATGGTAAATCGTGACGATGTCGGAAAACCAAGCAATAATTTGGTGTTTCTGTTCTCAAGATTTCCAGAGAATCCAACTGCTTTGCGACATTTTGCAGGAAAGAAAGTTATTGATGCCGATGTTTGTTTAGATTTGTTTATGCCGGAAAGTCTTTACAGGGAATTCCATGGCTTGTATCAACTTCAGCTATTTTGGATTGATTGTTATGATATTCTGGTGAGTTTAAATAATTCCAGCAAATCATGACTTTTCTGTAAATTATATTCTTTTAATGATTTGTGATAGTTTGAACTTTCACTAGCCTAGTGGCTGAGACGTTTGCCTAGGATAGATCTAGAGCATTTCAACATACTTCATTTATACTGCAAAAGATGTGCATTGAATAGGTTACAAGCGTCGGCTGTAGGGAATTTCCCTTTAGCTCAGCGGCAGAGCCAATTGTCACGGGTTCGAGGCTAGCAACGGCTCTATCTCTATCACTATTTCACATCCTATGACAAACTGGTGCTGTTGACACTCCACGTTCAAGGTAGGAGCTTGACGGGGAGTCAAAGAACCTGGGTTATGTTGGTGTTTGAAAAAAAAAAGGGGGGGGGGAATAGTGTAAAAGATGTGCATTGAATAGGTTGCCTTACAAGTGTCAGCTGGAGAGCATCAGGCTGGAGAGCCAAGGGTCGTGTTTTCGAGCCCCAGCGACGGCACGATCTTTACCACTATTCCTTGTCCTACTACATATATAATGATTAAGTATCGAAACTGTTAATTTATTCATCATAGAAAGATCTTTGGTGGTGTTATGTTAATATGAGATGTAAATGCATTGACTTACAGGTAACAACGCAAAATATATTCTATTTTCATTTTAAAAAGTTATCCAAAATATATGAACTTAATCTGTATTTTTTTTTTTATATTTTCGAACAGACAAGACCTGGCATAGATCCTAAGAGTCTTAAACTATTTGAAGAAACCCTCAACAAGATTGGAGGTCGTTTGATACCAGCAGAGATATTAGTTCAACTTTGTGACAAATATGTTACAAATATTGCAAGTTTTTTTCCTGCAGAGGCATCAGAGCAATCAACAATTGGCCTTGATCAACAAAACTCACATAATGTGCAATCAAAACACGAAAAATGTGTCACAGTTTTGGGAAAAGATCAAGAATCATGTAAATCTGGAGCTACCAAGAAAGCGTCACACATATTTCGTCCAGTTTTACCTTTTCTTCCAATTGTTTGCGATCTGTTGAATTACTGTCAAATTGCCAGACATAGATCTCGAACTAGCTCTGGAGGTGAAGAATCGGTTTGTCAAGTCCCACTCTTATCACAAAAGGGTAAGGTTCATTAAAATTCTGTGTTGTAATTAGTTAATAAATATAAGAAAGGTTTTGTCATGATCAATATTGTATCGCAATAGGAGCAATTTTAAAATAGCCTGACACCGTACACCATAAATACCTTTACGTGTTTTCATGAAATAATGAAGACATTGTTTTCTTCCTTTAGGTTAAATAAAACATAAATTTGCAAAAACAAAAAGAAATTATCTACAAAATTCAGGAAATCCTTTTTGGTTTGTATGAAATTGTTTAAGACTTATTTGTGAGTTTGTGTGCTGTGTTATTGAAACAATGCGAAATAGTACAATAATTAGTGGATCTAAGAGAAGATTGTGTTTTTTATCAATTAACACCTTTACAGCTTTGTAAACTAAAGATCTTCAGTGATCTAACACATTTTGTCTTGTTTCAGGACAAACGTTTTGTGAGTTGGAGGTTGTCCCCATGTACAACAATAGAAGGTAAAATGATTATGTGATACTTAAAGAAGTAAAATCTTCTTTAATCCGATAATTTTATGTCACTGTGAAATTTATGTAAAAGCCAAATAGATACCAGTATATAAGAACAAATCAATTTTCACATTTTCCTTCGTGGTGTTTATTGGGTGCCCTTTTGAAATTTGATACAGGACTGACTTGCTACAGAATGCAAGTGCCCAAGCCTTTGTTGATACAAACTTAAGGGAGGTGGATGTTGGAGATGACAACATTCTGTCTCTGGAAGTGGACATTCCCAGGAAACCCTTGCTGGTCAGGGGTGGAACTGAATCCCTGCGTGTGTGCGCTGTGTTCCATACCCAGAACTGGACGCAGCTAGACTGGACAGGACAGGAACAGTGTGTGTGTACCGCCGCTGGTGATGACAAGGTTCAATCTGTCTCATTTAAACGTTTACTTGCTCGACTTCATCAAGAAAGAAGTTGCCTGGTAGGTTTATCTTCAAATATGATGGAACATTTATGTAAGTTTGTATTATAGAATGATGTTTAAACAAGGCAATGGCCCAAATCCATGTTTTCAAAATAATTGACGTTAAAACCTTAATTTGTCAAACATAAATTTGCATTTAATATCTGTGCAATCAAGTTAGTTAAAATATTATGCACTGAGTTTTACATTCTGACCATGGTCACTTACTGCTATTTCTTGTTTGAGACATGTTTTTCCAAATTATTAATCACTCTTGTTGGCCCGGTTGTAAGCCGGGGTCTTAATGTGGGGAAAAACCGGAGTATCCGGAGAAAACCCACGTTGTCAGGCAGGTGACCCCATACCTTTTCACATCCGATTAGAGAATTGTCAGAACCCCAGCCACCTTGGTGAAAAGCAAGTGCACTATCCACTGCGCTACCCGACAACCCAATTATATTTGATATTAGCTTATGGTAGAGATGTACAATGTACAGACATGCAAATCCAGATCCTTCAATGGTTCTCATTAGAGTTTAAGAGTGACCAACTATTTGTCTCTTTGTTGCTATTGCAGCTATTGGAGGTCAAAGGTCATGCTGCCTTGGTGATTCTGAAGCCCCTGACGACAGTGTCTGCATCACTATCACTCCTCAGTGTTGGACGGACGTTAGCCCTAGAGAAGTCCCTGTATCAGGAGGGGAGCGGTACCATAGATAGAGAGGTCCGTGCTCTCCAGGAGAAGGATGGACCGTCCTGGCCAGAGCTTGTTACCAGATTGACAGAGAAACAGCAATTATCAAAGTCAAGTAAGTACATATAAACAGAGGGAAGTGTTGTCATTTAAAGGTCATTAGGAAAATCTTATAAGCCACTATGGCCTTGAGTTAATGAAAGCATTTCTATTTTGTGCCTAGTTCGGATATTAAAAGAGTTGAGTGATACTGGCCAGATGGGCTTATTGCTCTTTTAACAATATTTCTTACCATTCCATTCATATTACACGAACTACAGATATGAACAATAAATAATGCACTGTACAATAATTTTATAGAAACAGAGGCGGACCAAGGTGGAGCTTGTTTTGACCCGACGGTGGTAGGGAAGGCTTATCTTCCTGGGTGTCACCAGTCGTTTGGTCGGCTGCTAGACAAACTAAACCAAAGGTATTTACCCTTAAAGATCTTAGAACCAATTGTCTCCAAAAATAATTGGATTTTGTTAAATATTCAGATCTTTTTGGTCTTGAGGTAGTTTTAGTCCAGTGTTCACTTGTTGCTGAGTTAATCTAGTTGTACTATGATCATTATTAGCAGCCTAAATCAGCCTGAACCCGACTTGTGGTTTATCATTGATGACTTTTAGTTTGACATAGGATTGATCATTGATAAATTTTAATTCATAACTTGCACCAAATATTTCAGAAAATATTATCAAGAACCTATAATGAAATTGAGGAAAAAGTTTAAATGTGATGTAGATCCTATTGTCTCTCACAGGGACAGAATCAGATACTGATTTTATCTAACAAGGTTTATTGCCTTCACTCCCTTGGTAAGAACAAGGTATAGGTGCCGTCACAATGTTAAAAAAGGACTTCATCCGTACATGTGTAAGACAGGGAGATACCAGCCAGGTTTAATTCTGTTTCTGAATGACATTTGTATTGTAGCCCAGATAGTTTTGACAGAAGCACTGGGGTATATGACACAAATGATTGAAGTATTTTTTGTTGAAATAGGATTTCTCAGATGGATTTCCTGAGTCAAGATGAGAGGAAAACTCTTGGAGAGCTCCAACAACTGTACAGATACGAAAACCAACCTCCACATACACGCAGTCAGAGTAAACAAGGTAGGTTATATATTTCAGACTTACTGATACCATACTGTGTCAGCAAGACCTGGGCCCGAATTCATGAAACCGTTCTCATACTCAAACTCAAATTCTGTTCTCAAGCCCAATTTCTTGTTCTGTTGATTAATTAATTAAAAATCACATTTTGTCAGCATTTATTGGAATAATTCTGGATAGGCTACAATCCACATTCTATCTTAAATGTTCTCGATTGACTATCTGACCATGTCACATGATTTAAGCAAGTTACTTATTTCCTAGCACCTTGCTTGGCAACACCTCACTTTTGGCTTGAATGTTGAGCGTTCGCCCAGGTGAGGAAGGCAATGGGTTCTGTCCCCAGGCCGGAGCACATACCAAAGTCCTTAAAAATGGTAGTTGTTATTCCCTGCTTAACGTTCATCATTTAGGGGAATGGCAACAACTGGTTCACCCGTTGTCAGTATAATGTGACCGGGCGGAATGCTGTGCTGGGTGCCTTCGGCATGGTATTTCAGTGAGATAGCACTATAAAGTCGGCATCAGATCCGCACTATCACAAGGAGGCAAGCACACCAACATACCCGGTCTCCTGCATACTCACACGCAAGCTCGCATACACTACACACATGGGCAGATTGGTCGAGTGGTTAACACTTCGGCCTTCCACGCAGGCAGCCGGGGTTCGATCCCCGAAGTCGTTGCACGCATGGAATATCAGAGAAAATGTTTTTCTCCTGCCCACACAACTCCAACAACCCAGGCAGAGTATAAAATGGTCTGGGGTGGATGTTGCGGTATCTGTGTTGTAGCATTCAAGTGAGGTGGCACTATAAAAGATGCCGTTGGAAGCACAGTCCCACTACAAACAGCACACACACAGTCATACACACATAGGGAGATATTAGCCAGGTGGCATAGGACTAGTAATTAGCGCCTGATAAAGCAGCTCCAGCGAATTCCTCAAAAATTGTATATCCTAATTGTATTACCGGTAATTGTATATCTGTTTACTGTAAAGCGCTTTAGAGTGGCTTATTTTAACTAAATAGGGTGCTATATCAAATGTTGTATATTATTATTATTATTATTATTATGGAGGCACGTCCTTAAATTACCTTAGCTGGATGTTAAACCAAACCAAACTAAACCATTATAACTCAGTCAGTTTTTTTCTCTAGTTTTACCTCCAAATACAGGCTGCTTCCACTAGCAAAAAATGCTTTATTTTCCAAAAATGAAGAAAAAATGAAGAATATCTTCCGGATTTCAATAAAAATTCATTCTATATTTTTCCCAATTCATGTAGGAACAGGCTGTTGAAAATTTAGATTGAAAAATCACTCATGATGGTTTATCATGAAGTAAGTGAAGTGTGAGGGAGAAATTCTATCCCACACACAAAGGCACGAGAGGTTATTGTACTGTGATGGTTTATCGTGTAGTAAGTGAAGTGTGAGGGAGAAATTCTATCCCACACACAAAGGTACGAGAGGTTATTGTACTGTGATTGCTTTACTTACAGGTTTGCCCAATCATGATCTGACCAAAGACAAAGCCAGCACGGCCCAGGAGGAGGGTAAGAAAGGTCAGGGGTCAATGCCGTCTCGGGGAGAGATGATGGTGACGAGAAGTCGACAAGCGGTCACTCAGAAGGGCAAGGATGACCAGGACAGTGTTTCACAGGACAGTCGATCCAAAGACAAACCCAAGACGGACAACTTGCTTAGTAAAGCAGGTAATTACACTTAGAGAACATTCATAGCACAAAGTAAAGTGGTATTAGTAGGGCCCTGTGTCAGAGGCGTGGGTTCCCTATCGTGATGTCCACACTTTTGTTTCTTTACTGATCTTTCAGAATTGTAAATGTCATAGTTCTGATATGATAATAATTAAGGATATGCTAGTATATATGTAACATGTAATTACTTCTGTTTGAGCTACTGTTTCTTTATTCTGTGTGCAGATTTTGCTGATGAGGGAGAGCTGATGACTTACCTACAGGACGTGTATACAGGTGCTGTGTGTAGCGGTAGGCCCAGCCTCTCTGTCTGTGGGCAAACCATTGTCACAGTGGCCTTACACTACCTGAAGGAGAAACAGACTGACAAACCACAGGTACGCTCATTCTATAAAATGGTATTTTATATGGTCAACAGCTAATCGTGTTGATCAAAATTTAATCAAACATATCAAATAACCAATTTCCATTGGTATTAATATGTTTTGATATTAACACAAGTATTATTTTTGCAATATTTTTACTAAAATTGTGACTTATGAAGTTATATCTAAATTTGAACTGCAGTGAAAATTAAATTTTCCTAATTAATTCAGCACTGATTGGTTACCGTATGTTGTTTTGATGTAGCACTCTAAGGGTTAACAGAACCTTGCTGTTGTGTCTTGCTTTTACAGTGCCAAATACTCACTTGTTGGCCTTTGACAAGTTGTATGTTTTGTGTACATGATTTTCTATAGATTGATGGTAGCAACACTTACACCACATAATAAGTTCAATGGTGTCAGTCATTGAATTCTCCTCTTGGTTTTCACAGATTCTTGCCCAATAAAAAATACGGTCAAATAAACGACCACCTTTGTTTTACAACAAGTTTAGAGATTTCCCTTGGATGGTCGCTTCATACAGATTTCTTCTTCTTCTTTAGGTTATCAGTATAGTCCTTTAGTGATCTGAAGATTATTTACTGTTTTGCGCAGCGTGGCGTATATATATATTTACAAGAATACCAAAAATTATGAAAATTAATTTGGAATGCATAAATTTTAAATTGTGATTAAAACTATGTACATAGGCTTGTAAAAATTAAATGAATTTGTGGAGAACAGCTGGTGTGAGCTGTTCTCTGAAAGTGTCGACTGTTGTGACAGTGACTGTATGGATTGGTAATACATTCCATTGTAATAATTTGACTGTACATGTTTCTGGAAATACCCAACAAATACTTTTCTTCCTGTTAAATCCTGGTCATGTTTGATGTCAGACATATATTGGTCAACTCTACCAGGCTTTATGTAATTTGGAAGTTACAAATACTCAAAAGTCAACATCTCAGGGTTATATTGTAAAATTGTATTACACACTATTTAAATCCTGTGCTAGATATTAACCAAATTATTCTGCAGCAACCTTTTCTTATTTATTTTTATTTTTTTATAGTTACTTGTCATCAGTTATCATTTACATGTTGAGCAGTGGATAGCATACTCACCCTTAAGCAAAACAAGTTTTCTCCAAATGCTGTTTTTTTTTCAAATGTGCTTTTTTTCCAAATGTGCTTCTGTCTTGGCCAACAATAGCAATTAATAGAAGTTTATAAAACTCGTTTCGTAATTATTGTAAAGTAAGGTTTTCAATAATGTAAAATGGACATATTAGATGCAAAACCCATAATTGAAATGTTTTATTTGCAGGAACGATGTGTGAAGATGTTAGAACAGGCTATAATTCTACAACTTACTGGTCTCCGGGAGAAATACATCAACAGCAGTACAGACATAGAAGAACAGCAGAAAGTCAGGGAGTAGGTTTTCTTTTTGATTTTAAGGTCACCTGAGACAAAGTCTCAAGTGACCTATTGCGATCGCCTTATGTCCGGCGGCATCCGGCATCCGGCGTCCGTCCGTAAACAATTTACATTTTCGACTTCTTCTCCAAAACCCTGAACCAATTTCAAGGAAATTTTGCAGAAACCTTCCATGGCCAAAGGTCAACTAAAATTGTGAATTATATGGTCCCCAGCCCCCAGGGGCCTGAGCTGCGGGGCCAAAAAGGGTTGAATTGACTGAAATTTCAAAATTTTCTTCTCAAGACCCAGATATGGTAGAATCAAATACTCTTCATAGATGGAAGGGTCTTAAGGTGCTTTACCAAAATTGTGACCCTGGGGTCTCATGTTTACCCCTGGGGAAGGAGGGGGTGGGGGCAAAATTTGTTATGGTTTATACTTTGAATATTACATGTTGATAACTTGATTGGAATTATAACCCTAAGTTGACAGTTTGGTACTTTGAAAATTTTGAGCCATCCCTACCCCCAAGGGCTGTAGGGTGGGGCCTAATGGAGTCTGTGTGCTAAAATAAAATTTCTTCATTTTTCTTGTTTAAAATCAGAGGTGCGAGTTTCAAATACTTTTCAGTCTTAAATCTGCATGCTAGATATTGAATAAGGTGGTTTTATTGTTTTTTGTCACTTTGAATAATATTTCTGTTCATGTTAAAAACAAAAATCAACTCTCTGTATAAATATATCAGGTGAGCGTTAAGGCCCATGGGCCTCTTGTTTAAGAACCTTACTGTCAAAGCTTTGTATAAATCTTGTCAATCGCTGAGGCAAGTGAACATTTATACCTGTATCATGACAAGTTGATACATTGTATCATGCAGGAGTTGAAGGTTTGAAAAGCACAATTATAAGGTTCTGGATTAAGATCATGAAAACCTTTTATCTGTCTGGACACATAAAGCTGCTTTGTGATATTACATGTACAATGTATTTAGATAAAAGGTGCTACCAAATTTCACAAAACATTTTATACAGCTTTTGTAGATTAATGATTTAACTGTGGATTGATGCTCATGACTTATTTTCATGGTAATAATGTGGAATATTGTAGGTACCAGTTACAAGTGCTACTACGACTGGAGTGCGAGTCCATGCTGTCGGCCGGGGACATGTCCGAGGTGTCAGAAGCAGATGGTCGAGTTGACCAGGTAAATTAAAACAGTTTCTTTTTTCATGGTTAAGTTTCTCCAAACCATTCAGAGAAGAACAGTAACAAAATGAAATTGTTTTAATTGTTAGAATTTAGCTCTTACCAGTCCAAAACACACGGTTTATGAGATTTTTTTGAATTTGTGTTGTTAAAATCTCTCCAGACCTACTGTAAAGATTAAAAAGTATCAGTTGGGGACAGGAATTGTGAATTTGTTTTAGACCATAGCATACATACAAGACTAAGGTAAAGGAGGAATTTATGATCAATGTCTAGTAATAGATTTGTTGCATCATTATTTTTTATCCACAGGTTGTGAACCTTTTGAGAACCCTAGGATTCGTTACAGACCCGGCAGCTTTGTCCGAGTTTTTGTCTGGTACACTAGTTGATTTGTAAGTATCATTAATAAAATGATTTACACAGTGGAACATGACTTACAAGCACCTACAGACACCTGATTTCGCCGACACCTTACCACACTGTCGACTCACCAAACTTAACTAAAATCCTTTTTATGAACACCTGACTTCACTAAAACCTGTCTCACCATATATCATACAAATGAAACAAGTTTTTACAAATTATACACAAATTATATCTTATCTCAACTAAATTACTCTACATTGGTTAACATTCAAGAGATTAGGGACATTTCTGAAATTTACTAGTCTTGGACAAGAGGACTAGTTTAGTGTTGAACCCTGAATGTATAGTCCAATACAATGAGGAGAGTTTGTGTGCAGCCCGAGTCCAGCACGTCTTACCCTGTGATACCCTTTTAGTTCTTTCGTGTGTGGCTTCCAGAGTTCTGCTTGTTATGAGTCCCTATTTTAAATGGCTCGTTCACAGTGCCAGAACACTTTAATCTTAGAGCACAGGAACACACAATATCCAACCCTGTAAATACTATGGTATGTTAAATATATTGACAGTAATATGCATTTAGTTGTTAACTTATATCTCATGATTTACAAGACATAAAATACAGTTTTATTGAATGTTTGTTTTATTGCTTGTAAGGTGTAATGAGAATTTTTTTCCTGTTTTAGTTTTACATTTAGGCCCCTTTCGCATGTCTGGTTCAACCGGTTGATCTTCTTTTAAATGTAACCTTTTCGGGTTTAAATCCTGACGGCCCTGCAAATGTTTATGCAGGCCTTGCAAAGCTTTGTCAAGGCTCGCCTGAAAGCAGCATCAGATTACGGGTACCAAGTCTGACCTTATTTCATAAACAAACAACTCTGGTCCAACCGGTTCAACTGTTTGGATCGTGAAAGACAAATATGGCCTTACTTAATCTGCAGAAGGCTCTGTTCCCTTCATCAATTTACATTTTCTTGTCACTGTTTTATCAGGTATTTACACACCCTGCCTCACGTCCTGGGGAATATCTACGATGAGCTGATGCAGCCACTTCCTAGTGTATTGGAGGACATCCTGTCGCCCAATCATAGCGCAGATCAGTCCGTGTTCAGTAGTTCGCTACTGAAATCGGACAACCCTGGATCCAACCAATCGACGGACTCGACTTTGTCTCTTCCTCCATCCAACCAATCAGATGTCCTCCTGAATCGGCCAAAACGTAACACCAGGTAATGATACAAGCGACAAGTGATAGCCTCACTCATAGCACCAGTAAGCAGAAAAGTCACTGAAACAGTGTCAGGGAATAGCAAAGACCTATTTTTCTGGGTTATAAGCATTTCTGATAACTGAATATCATGGCCATAATATGTTAAAAGTTCTCTAAAGTAAGTTTAAAACTGAAGTTTGTGTTCATTTGTATATTGTGTATAACTGTTGAAGCTGGGGTCGACTAATGCTAGTTTTCTGGTATGAGATTAATACCCTCTACACCAGACTTGAGCTAGTGTTGGGAATCAATTAAAATTTTTAATCAATCATTGGGTAACATTAAATAACCAATGGTTGATTAATAACTGTTTTAAAAATACATAGTAGAATCCTCCATGCATGCTCCATTGATAACCCAAATAAAAACTATAAAAAATCTTCCCCTGTACCATTTGAGGGATTTCATCCAAATTTGGCCTGGATCATCCTTGGGCAAAGGGGACTAAATTTTGTATAAATGAAGAATTTTGCCCCTCAGGGTGCAGAGTTGCGGGGCCCAATAGGGGAATTCGAGGTTTAAGTCTTCAAAATCCTTCTTCCTCTGTACCATTTGAGGGATTTCATCCAAATTTGGCCTGGAGCATCTTTTGGCAAAGGGGACTAAATTTTGTAGAAACGGAGGGTAAAAGGCCCCTTTGGGTGCAGAGTTGTGGGGCCCATTAGGGTAATTTGAGGTTTAAATCTTTAAAATCCTTCTTCTACTGAAGCATTTGAGGGATTGTATGTAATAATGGTTGCTTTATTATCCAGGTGAGCGATACAGGCTCTCTGGGCCTCTTGTTCTGACTAAAATCGATCAAAAATTCTGAAGTCAATTAATCAGGTTATTGGCTTAACTAACCATTTCTTGACAAAGTCTATTAATTGTAACACCACCAAATTGAACATAATAATTTTCTTATGAAATCAAACGTTAATGGTAAAAATACTATGGTTCATGTCTGCTTTGAAATTATTTAATAAATTGTTGTTTTCTCAGTGTTTATGGAGTTTATGTGCCCTTGAATTGTTTATGATATAATTGTGTTGTTCTAGGCGACATACTTTGGTCCACCATCCAAGTTTAGCCGAGGTTGGACCCAAACGACAGATCATGGTCAAGAAAGTTGAAAAGAAAAAGGTAAATATTTGTATAATGTAATTTGATTGAATATGTCACAATTTCTGCCATTGTTAATGATCTCACTATACATATATATATATGTAGAACAATCGTATGTGCCCGCATTTTTAGTACTTCAGGGGTAGAAATATCCTATAATTTTGTCCTGAAAAAGCCCACTGTAGGGGCGAAACCGGTCGACACTTCTAATAAACTACAAGAACTACTTGCTCCTTCGCCTGTTGTGCTTGAATCTATTTCCTAATGTACCCATTTTTTTCTCAATCCCCTGCATACTTTCGGGTATCCAGACAAGAAGCAAATGACCAAATTATTCTACCATTAAGAAAACCATGGTACTGCCTTGATTTTAAATATGATACAATCACCTTACAACATGATGGTTAGGGTTATTATGAATTACACTTTAAAGAGTGGTTTATAATGGAATGAATAACAGGAGATAACAAGATCATATTTCAATTCATGAAATGCAAAACCCAGAATGATGTACGGGTATATTTTGATGATAAACAAAGCATAAGAAATTTCATGATAAAAAGTTCTAAGAAGTTTGACAATCTGATATACCCATTATAATTGGTCACAGAGAAATCTCATCATTGTATATTTTCACAATAAAGTCACAGAATCTTCATCATTGTTTACTTATAGGATAAACAGAGTCATAAGAAATCTCATCATTCAAAGAGAAAGACCAAGGACCCAGGCAGTAAGTTTGTTTTCCTTCCTGTATTTACATACAGTGTTTTAAATGTGATAACCTGATCCAAGTTTATACACCAAAGTTCTTGACTCAAGGACTTGGGTAATATTTGTTGTAAAATTCAATATTTTCATCAAGCATGATTCCGCGGGTGAAGTTTTTCTGCGATTCATTACTTGTTTAAAGACAGGAATAGTATTTCTGAACATACTACATTCATATATTTCTAAATTTAATGTCTGGTATAGTCTGACACAAATGACCTATCACATTGACCTTTGTGTAGGTATGCCCATCTGTTCATTGATGTTCATGTTTATCGAGCACAACATACATGTACAGAGACCGGTTGTCAGTAATCCTGTTAGCTTAACAATGTGATATCTAATTGGGGATATTTTCATAACTCATCATAAAACATACAAGAGATTTTTGAAATTAAAGTGATTATTTTTGACGTATCTCTTTGTATTAACTGATATCAATTCCGTCTTTGCGTATTGCAGAGTTATCTTCTCTTGGGAGCAGGTGTTGATTGTAACGTCATTGGTTTGTGTGAGAAAGTTACGTCGTTTTCTCAAAAATTGATGACGTTACTCTCACAAACAAGTGACGTAACAATAAATACCTGCTCCCAAGAGAAGATAACTCTGCAATACACAGACGGAATAAGGTAATCAAAAGGCAACATGAAGGTCACTGTGGTCAGACTGTATCAAAATAAATTAGATAAGTTTATATTTCAGGGTCACAAGGTCAACATGAAAGGTCACTGTGGTCAGACTATCAGAATAAATTAGATAAGTTTATATTTCAGGGTCACAAGGTCAACATGCAAGGTCACTGTGGTCTGACTGTATCAGAATAAATTAGATAAGTTTATATTTCAGGGTCACAAGGTCAACATGAAGGTCACTTGTTATTTATAGGTCAACCACATATCCAAGGGGGCATGCATGTCTTATGGCCTTTTTCTACTTATTAACCTGGGTAACACATTTTTTGTAGTCCAATCGTATACTTTACTGTATGTTTTATTTGTGTAAATTTACCAACATTACAATAGAAAATTTCTTCAATTTTTCAAACTCAGGTAAGAACAAATTGTTTCTTTTCGTATTCTGGTAGCTCTAAATAGTCAGAATCTTGATGTTTTCATTTGCAAAGGTGGAGAAAAGGTTTGTCGTAACCTTTTTGAAAACAAGAAAACCAAATTGGAGCGTCGACAATCAGTTGCTGTAATGGAGAATATCGGGAAATCACGCCATCACCACAGTAAACGCCTCCCAAATCTCAAAAGTCCAAAAGGTAATTCCACATCACATCCAGAGTATCTTATAAAAGAAAACTTTTTAAAAATATATTTTATTGCACTAACAGATATATCTACATTTTCTAACTCGATTTGACTTGAAGATATGTGTAACTATTTGCGAACTTTTTGATGGAATGGTAGAGTTTTAACAGAGCTACTAGAAGGATTGTTTATCAGGCAACTTATTGATGGAATGGAAGAGTATTAACAGAGCTACTAGAAGGATTGTTTATCAGGCATACTCTACAAATTAGGTGGATCTTTTATCCTTTGTTTTGGGGTGAAACTTCTGTAACAAGATAGATGAATCTGGTAAACTGCTTTTGTCTATTTAAACTTTTCAGACCCATCAAAGTTTGTCGCATTACTTGATCAGGGTTAAGCATGAATTGTACAGTTTATTGTATTCATTGGTTGCTTTAATTGTTTTAAAACAAATTACAATAAAAACATATAAAACATTGTAACTGAATATTAAATATAATTTGATATATACTGTAGATCATATATTTCACTATATATCATTTTTGTGTAGACTTATTAGCAAAGTCCCAAATTTAAATGTATTTTTAAAAAAATCAATTTTATTTCACAGAGGTCATTATTTTTTTCAATGCCTTCGCTAGGAGTCGAACCCGGGACATCTGGCTAGTATTTTACCAGGGTGACATTTATTAAAACAAGGAATACATACCAGTTATTTTTCCATTGATGATTTCCAAATCCTGACGAATTTGTCGTCACAAAAGTATTAAGTTTATATGAAGATTTAGTGTCAGATATACAGCACATGTACTGAGATACATATCATAAATGTATGTTGGAAAATATTTAACAAATCAGTTTTAATCTGACATATCTTACTCTTCACAGCTCTGAAATCACCTTTCAAGTCGCCAACATTTCGCAACAAGAAGGTGAGCGAGACGCCTGCCCACAAACAGAAATGCCAGGCAGTGTTTTCTCGTATTGAGAAGGAAAGGCATCGTTCGCAGAGTGTCACCACAGTACAAGTGGTGGAGGAATCACCCGTAAAGGCTTGTAAGTAAACTCGGTAGTCAGGAAGTTAGAGTGTCTGGTGTGAAAAGCAGTGACTAGGAATTTGACTAATATTTTCACCTGTACATCTTTGCATGTTTCAATATGTCTGTGTTCTTCCATCTCCGACAATAATTTTTAACATTGGTTGTAATATCTATTCCTCAAAAGTGATGGATTCTTTAAGTTTTATTTTGTTATTTTGTGTGTGAGCTCAAGGCTGATAAACTAAGTAGGCAGAAGCTTGCACAGATCTTTTGTGCAGTAAGGGTTTATTTTAAGTTGCTGTACTCTCTTGTGAAGGTTAAAATATTATAAGTTACAAGCGGGAGTGCACCAATAGCACTGAGCTCTATGGTATCATGTCTTCATGTGTGTTAGAAAATGAGCTACAAAACCAACACTTTGTTGACTAAAGTATATGTATTTGCTGCCCTACATACGACCAGACAAAGTAATAGACGCTCTCCATCTTTGTGGGTCAGACTCCTCAACATCTGTTTCTATAAACAATCCATCAATCTAGATTTTGTGCACTGTTTTGTCATCAAAGGGACATACAAAATGATTTATAATCATTTTGTTTTCAGAGGAGTGACTGCTTCTCTTTACTAATTTGGATATAACTAGTAAATACTTTTTTGTTCTTTAGCATCACATGAAGCACCTCAATTTTTATTTACCAATTCTTACTGTAGTTATTGATATTTTGTAATCTGAATATGTATTTTAATTCGTCCATCCATCTTGTTTTGTGTGAATTTTTTATTGTTTTGTCTGTTCTGACAAAGTCAATAATTTTAAGACTTAGACGTATATCTTCAGAACTGTTTTAATCGTCTTATCTGTTGATTCAGGTATCGAACCAACAGACAGTCCGTCACAAAGAAAGAGGACTATGACAATGCTTCGACGTTCCTTTTATTCCGCTGGTCCTACCAAGAGGTCTCGCAACATGGTAAAATATTTCCAGCTAGCTGATCGTATGGCAGGCAGGCCACCTGTCAACAGGCTAAGCTCGGGTGTTTCACTTCACGATTTATCAGCAGAGTTCAGATCGCCAGATAAAAACTCTTCACTCATCTTCTCGCAGCTCATTGGAAGTCCAACACCTCCAAAATCGACACCAAACAAAATGGTGGTTACCCCAGCCAAGCACCTGCTCGAGTCACCAAGTATGCATACAAGATCAAGGTCACCTGCACGCTTGGAAGGAACCCCGAGAAAACACATTGTTGGTAAAAGTTTGTTGGAATCACCTTGCATGAACACTCGATCAAAGTCGCCGGGCTTTAGTCTAGGTCGTCCAAAAGTTTTGTTCGGAGATTGCAGTTCATCCTTTCCTGGTGTTGCTCAAGACCAGCCTGGAGTTTTCTTAAAAGAAACTCCAGTGAAAAATGACAGTTTGGTTGCAGAGTCTCCAAGCCAGAATACACGATCAAAAGCCACGGCCACACCAAAGAGATCTTCACGTGCAAAAATGTTTTTATTCAAGAGCCCTGAAAACAAACCCTCATCCTTAAAATCAATATGCACAAACATTTCTTCATCAAAATGCCTGAATTTGTCCAAGTTTGAAAGTGCGGACAGACAAAACGATCAAAACGATGTGAATTCGGCTAAGAGTGAGACAGGTAGTGTTATCAATTTATCCTGGATAGAGGCTAGTGGAGTAATAGGAGGAATCTGTATAAAAGATCCTACAGCTCAGTCCACTCCGAGACAGGAACGCCTCACAAAGTCTCCATTGGAAAGGACTCCATCACCTCGGAAACCATCCGGAACAGTAACAACTCCCAGCTCCTTGGACAGGAGGTCGAGGAGGCAGAAATTCCAGAATCTGTTCCAGTCTCCAAAGTCTTGTAAAGCTAAGCAATCACCACCATCTAGTTTTGAGTTGCAGAATGTACATCAGTCACCTAGGTTATCTAGTCGACTTCTGTCCGAGTCCCAAACAACAGCTCAGGGAAAATCTCCAAGGTCTCGTCTGTCTCATAGATATTCTCAGTGTGAGAAACTGTTGACCTCACCGAGGTCTTTTCCAGCAGGTGAAAACATTAACAGTGTTCATCACTCACCTTGTAAGTCATCCACTCAAAGTGAAGAAGACAGTGCTTTTGTGAGTGGAAAGACAAACAGCGGGATGGAATCGGCCATAATGAAGTCACCTACACAGGACACTGATAACGAATCCATATTTTCTGAACTATCACAGGGATTCGATACTAAAACAACCGTACTTTCAGATCTATCTTCCCCATTTACAAGGAAGCGAAGTTTAAGATTTTCCCCGGAGAACAGCGATGTTTTCTCTCCTAGTAAGAGGAGACGAGTGCAATTGCACAATATGGACACCAATAAAAACAGTTCTGTATCATATTGCCTGCACTCCCGAATCTTAAGTGGACGTGTAGACTCCTTTGGTTCTAGCTCCAGTCAGACCAGTCAATGGTTCCGAACAGAAACCGGCCAGTCACAGAAAAGTCAGGCCTCTTTGTCACAAAATAGTGTCGACTCCAACGACTACTTTTCACTCTCTAACGATGAAGTGTTTCTGTGTCGTAAACCCAAATTGAATGAGGAAACCTCTCGCGCAGATTCACCAGTGTTTGGTTCTGCCAAGAAGGATAAACATCGCTCTATTGTATATAATGTCAAACCCATCATAGTGGATGATCTTTCTGCATCAGCAGGTCTCGTATCTCAAAACAGTACCACAGTGAGTCCACATGTGACCAGAACAAGACAGCCGTATGCTACAAGTCCGAATGTAACAGGTAGCAGCAGTGTGTCTGTGAGCCCCCGTGTCGCAAGAACTGATATTTGTAAGAGTCCCTATGTGGCTAGAAAAGGCCCACCAACATCTAGTGTGGCCCTGACAAAACTCTCACCGTCCAATCGTAAATACTCGCCAAATGTGTCTGCAAAGAGCCTGATGCATCTTATAAACTCGCCATTGGTTACCTCACCGGACAGTGAGGAACAAAGTCCTCAACTCCACAGTCTCAATGTGAAACGAAGGAGAACACATGGCAAGTCCAAACGTTCCCTTGACCTACATAAATAGGTCAAAGGTCAGATTGTAGTGCAAGTATCTTCTTAATTATTTTAAGGACATAGTTTGTCAAGGGATGGAATTGTATTAGGAGGGTTTATTCTTAAAAATGTGTTATCCTTTCAAAACCCTTCACGGCAGCTGTTGAAGATAACAGAAATATGTTTTGTCTTCTGATGTAGGAAGTAATTTTAAGTGCTAACAGCTTGTATTTATATATCTTCGTATTTATAGAGATTACACTAGTAGTCTGAAGTCAAATAGACACGAACAAAAACCTGCATGAAAGATTATGTTATTAATTATTGTCCTGGCAGTCTTATTTCCACAGTGAGATGAATTCAACAGAACAGCAAACATTACTTATAAAGTACATGTGATATGAATCATGAGCAGTTTATTTTTGTGAAGTATGTAGGTTTTCTTTGCAATTACTTGAGTTCACAATTGAGAAGATGTTATTGCAATAATGATATTATAATTATGTAATTAATTCATAATTACAGGAGATTTGAATTTGCAAATTACTTCCCTTCCAAATTAATTTAAAACTCTTTATTTACATAATAATGAGATTTTATCAGCAACACTATTTACCTTAAAACCACAAATTGACCCATGCATCGTATTGTTTTTTTTTCACATAAATTTATACCTTGAACTGCTCTAGTTACAGAGGGCCTTACACATCAAGTACCTGGGTAATTATCATAAAAGTGCTATAAAATATAATAACAATTCCAGATATTTCTTATTAAATTCCAACTTGTGTTGATATTTTTTCAACAAACGTGATCATAAGTACTGGTGCCAATAATAAATTGTATGTCAGTTATATAGACGCTTTCATAAATGGTCAGTTTTTCTGATCAATAAAATCAAACACCACACTTTTCCCATGACAATCTACACTAAACGGAAAATCTTACTTTTCCAATGGATGACAATGTGCATTGAATCTGTCAAACCTTATATCATGTTTTTCTTAGTAAATTGAAATCAAACAATCTTTTTAACTAGTAATTGAAATCGGTCGAATACAACACCATGCTTTTCCTAGTACCTGAAAGTGGATAGATTTACAAGATTTTTTTTTTTTTTGAAAGAAGCCCCAAATTTGGTCTCTAAACAGAGGTGATCTCTTACTAGAGTATCATCATACACTGTACTATACTGCATTGTGGAGTTAGAAAATGTTAATCTCTTCATAGGATGCTTACAGTATTACCATATTTTCCCTGCAGTAACCTGAAGGGGCCAACACACAACCTCTTGACTTGACTTTAATTAGGGGATGAGGTTATCACAGGACAATGAAATAGCATTTGTTTGCATTTCTGTTGAGATTAAATAAATAAGGATGAGCTTAATAATAGACTTGGGGTTATTTCTGGATAAATACGGTAATATGGTTGATCTCTTATTACCGGGCAAATCTATAGAATTTAGAATGTAAAATTCAAAAGATTTCATATCAGTTCAGACCATATTCTATATGTCCATTTCAAAAAAATACTTATTGAATTTTATAAAAATTAATTGTAATGAAATATTGATGAATGTGGCCATACAGGATCTCATCAAATTTGTGACAGTTGCAGCACTGGTGTATGGCTGTTATTATGTAAAGTATTGTGTGTAATATATTGATTATATCATTACTGGAGGGACCCAACACAGATATAGTTGATGTGCATGTACTGTGATCCGTTCAAAGTAAATATACACATGCTGCATAAATCCCTTTTTGTGAGAATGACAAGATGGTGTACCTGCAGCAGGTAGTATGAATACATTTTTAATAATTATTTAAGAGCTGTACACCAAGAGAATCATGCTGATTCAGGAATTCGATGCTCAAAATCAATATTTTTATACAAGATTTCTAATGTAGATATAAAAAAAATATGAGGTAAATTAGTGTTAATAAAGGCAGTCTGTAAAATTGTAAGTTGTGCTTGATTTTATTTGTTTTAATAACAGGCAGTTTGAAATTTGAGCCATCAACATTTTATTCTACCTAAACTTAAGATATGAATGGACTACAGGAGCCACAGAATTCAGACAGTGTGGTTTTTTGGATCTTTTTTGAAAGATGGTAAATATTTTCAGACATTTTGGGGGTTTAGATTAGCACACAATAAAAACACAACATCTCGGTTGTTTTTGTATTGACTCATCAGAAAAGACCTCACCATACATGAGTACTTTCAAAAAGCAGGATATTTTAAACAGTGATTTCATATCTTTGATTATACCGGATATTTATATTTATGAATAAGAAGGAAAATTAGAATTTAATTGGTTTTGAAAATGAAAGTCATGTTTGGTTGTAACAAAACAGGATTGAACCCTGTATTTGCGACAAAATAGCAAAAACTGTTCAGTCTTAACCAATGATCATATCTCAAATTAGTTTTCATTTGATCTCTTATTGAGTTTTCAAAATCATGAAATTATGTCTTCATGAGATCAGATATTATTTCCAATCTTGGTTAAATTGGATATTTCCCTTACAGATCTTTAACAGGATAAGTATGGTTAGCTTAACCAGATGCAACAGAAAATTTAACATAAAATATTATCCAAGAATATTTAAATATTATCACCAACTTTACATTATTGGATGTCCTTATGTTCATCTTAAGACAAGAACACTGAAAGAAATGTAAACTTTCGGGATGTTTCTAAAATATCTCATTTTGAAATGTTCACTTAGCGACATTAAACTGCTCATACATTGACTAGCTAGACCCTGTTTTAGATTATTTTATATGATGGTATTACCAACTAATCGCTCTTGTCAATGACTTGAGTACACACATTGACTAGCTGGACTCTGTTCTAGATAATTTTTATGATGGTATTACCAATTGATCGCTCTTGTTGATAACTCCAGTACACACTTTGACTTGCTGGACACTGTTACCAATTGATCGCTCTTGTCAATGACTTGAGTACACACATTGACTAGCTAGACTCTGTTTTAGATTATTTTATATGATGGTATTACCAATTGATCGCTCATGTCAATGATTTGAATACACACACTCACTTTTACTCTCTGCATCCCTAGAATATGTCATTGTTAAATAGAAGGTAAGCAGCTAGCTATTTGATTGGCATCAGGAAAAAACCCAGACCAATCACTAGGCTGATACCTGTCCTTTGAAGATTACAGAGAAGCAACACCCTGCTTCATAGCCAGGCAGTTTGACCGACAGATTCTTTTGATGTACACTAAAGGATAAAACTAGTCTTCTTGTCCAATGCGATTTTGATATGACATATTCCACGGATGCAGAGAGCGAAAGTGAGCATAACCTCTGGAGGATCAAGGATGTAGTCGACAGCGATGCTCAGTTCATTTTCAAGCATTTAATGGATCAACAGCCAACAAAATGTTGTGTTCCCTGTTTGAAATCTTACTGCTACCTTCCTGGTCTTTCCAACAATATTCCACGCCATCAGGATATTTGCAATTTAGCTGGAAACACTTTTTTTCCAGAGGTTTCCAATTGCTCCTAAAGTTTGTTTCTTACCGTTACAATGAATGTTGTCCAAGGGTAGGCTCAGTCAAGAACTAGATGAAGCATTTCAGACTAGAAGAACATGCGACTACATCTGGCGGTAAAGATGTCTTAATTGCGTCCGGAGTTAACATTGCCACAAGAATGGTCCGCATCTTGTACGACACTGCACTATTCATTATGACAGTGTTTGGGAGCGTGGTTTGTATATAAATGGAGCTTTATGTTGCGTTAAAATATATATATATCGACAGGTGTAAAAGAGAACGGAATAGATAATAGAATGGAAATGATAAATTCAATGGGGACACTAGATCGATTTGAATGCCTTGGATCTCAAAAGAAAACAAAAGTTTTATATAAGTGAGTTCGCCACATCAGCTATTTCATAAAATCATTTTTGCCGAACCTGAAGTGGCAATGATATGTTTCTCTTTCCAGTTTCCACCTGTCTTTTACAATCCGAAATGGAGGCAGCATGAACTTAATTGACCTGCTCCACTTCTTCCTCTCTGGCTCGTTAAGAATGACCATGTACTCTCAGTCCCTGTTCATGGCTTCTCTTGTATTGCTAGCGCCAAGTTAAGAAATGCTTTGCGATTTCCCACCTGTTGGCCACTGTTTGTTTCATGCCTTTTTCTGGTGTAGAGTTTGTTCTTTGTTGACTACAGGATAGAAACAAAAGCGTCAAACCAATGACTCCATATCGTCAGTACACACTGCCAAATTCTATAGCGTCATCACCTATGGCCAAGGTCGGAACTGCAGATCTGTATAAAACAAAACAACGGGGGCTGAGAAGATGACAAAAAGGACCATTTTGAACCATCACAAAAAGATAACTGGGGCGGAACGAGGTACTCCGGAGATCTAAGGGGTTTCCGGAGCCTTAGATGATGCACCGTTCATTAGCGGTGTCAGTGCCAGCGATCACTTGCAATGTGAGCCCAGTACTGTGGTATAATGGCATAATCATCAAACTGATTGAGCCCTCGTATCAAGAAGAAGAAGAAGGTATGGCTGAACAACTGAGTAGCTTATGGAATACTTTCTTCCAGTCCTGGTCTGGATTTCGGCATTTAAAAAAAGCGAAACGAACCACAAAGTCTTATACTCATCAACTACATATTACAGTTCGGTATAGCTATCACTAACATATAATGTGGAAATCTCAAAAGATACATTTCATTTAAGAGCAATTCATTCAAAATTTACAGCGTCAATATCGGGTATGTCCATCGTAAGCAGTAATGCACGCATTGTACCAGCGCCATATTCATACACGGGAAACCTCAGCTAACGTCAAAAGCTGATTTGGCAGTTGACGTAGCTGAAGTTACATCGTGTCCCAAACGTGCTCCATGACCAAAAGGTCAGGTGATAGTGCAGGCCATGGCAACACCTCCACATTCTGCTGAGTCCGGAAATCCATCACAGTGCTTGCAATTTGTATTCTTACGGCTTCATGGGGATGTCTCCTGCACAAAGCAACACGTCGACGTCGTTGCATGACAGGGCGGAGAGCTGGACGTCGTGCACGCAGGCGGGGTCTCGCAGGTACTGGACTAATTTTCCGTAATCCAGGAATGTTTCTCGCCGTCATAGCTGCAGTTTGGAAGCGGTTCTGCAAATGTACAAACCGGATATAATTGTCCTGACGTACTGACATTACAAGCGGACATCCTGACTTTGGACGGTCACTGGTGTTGCCAGACCCATGGAAACATCTCCATAACACATGCATAGTGTTTCAACACACACCAAAGCGTCCAGCTTGGTAACAGTCTTAAGGAAAACATATCAATCTTCTTTGGTAATATTCTCTAGGAAAATTTGCAAATCTTCCTTGGCAATAGTCTAAAGGAAAACTTGTCAATCTCCCCGGGTGATAGTCTATAGTTTGGTTTGGTTTTATAGTGCTACCTCACTGAAACATACTGCCGAAGACACCCAGCAGGACGCCCCATCCGGTCGCATTATACTGACAACGGGCGAACCAGGCGTCCCACTCCTAATTTGCTGAGCTGAGCGTTAAGCAGGAGTAGAAACTACCATTTTTAAAGACTTTGGTATGTCTCGGACAGGGGGCAGAACCCAAAGCCTCCCTCACAGGGGCGAACGCTCAACAAATGGTCAAAAGTGAGACTTTGTCAAGGGAGACATTAGGAAGAAGAAAGTTATTTAGAAAGGATAGAAGAGACAAGTTCCCAAATTTAGTCGCCTCTTACGATCATGCAATTGGGGGCAGCAGGTACAATTCTTACGCCCTACCTACAAGGGATTGATAATCAATTGGAAAACTGGTCAATCTCCCTTCGTGATAGTCTAAAGGAAAACTGGTCAATCTCCCTTGGTGATAGTCTAAAGTAAAACTTATCAATCTCCCTTTGTAATAGTCTAAACGCTTTCGAATAGAAGAAAACGCAGAAAACTTTTGTATAAAATGCACAACAAATTAACTCCGGACTATTTAAATTCTCTATTGCCATTTTCCGTTGCAGAAAATAACCGTTACACCCTTAGAGACACTGATGATTATAGAATTCTTCCTTTCAGGCTTTCTCTAACAAATTCATCTTTTATACCTTGGACCTTTCAGTACGATCATTGACTTAGTTACATTCTTTCAAAAACTCGTTAACTTCAAATGTACAATCTCCCCCACCAATCTACTTAGGTTTCGGTAAACTAAATTGAACATTTTGCACACTAAACTTAGACATCAGTGTAGTTCACTTAAATATCAAGTTTTTAGAGTAATTTGGTTGATAGTCCAGTTTGTTTTTGTGGCCATCCCTGTGAAAATGTCTTTCATTTTTTTTGTGAGTACTTACTTTTTAACGACGAAAGACACATCCTGCTCCAAAATTTGAATGCCTTGCATGTTGGTTTTAATTTAGAACTACTTTTGGTTAGTAATAGTCAAAT